GCTTATAATACTGCCTATAATAAAAGTATAAAACTTATACTATTTAATATAAATATTAGATTTATACCTAATATATATTATAATACTTAGGAACCTAAGAATATAAACCTAATAGCTATTATTATAAGTAATAGGCTAAAAGAAATATATAAAGAACCTAAGACTAAGTTAGAATATATTAGAAAAAGGATATAAAGATACTATAACCCTAAAAGGTTAAAGGGATTAACCTTTATAGAGGGAGATATAGTCTACTTATTTACTAAAAATATTAAAATAGATTAACTAAGCTATAAACTAAATTATAAATACTTAGGATTAGTTAAAATTAAATAGAAGATAGGGGAAGATTAATATAAATTAGATTTACCTCTAAGTATTAGATATTACCTAATTTATTATATCTTAATATTAGAATTAGCTATAGATATAATATATATTAAAATTAGTAATAAACTATAATAAATCATAAGACTAAAGGTATATAAAGTAGAAGAAATCAGAGATATAAATAAAATTAATAAATAGAAAAAGTACCTAATTAAATAGAAAAACTACCTAGAGAGTGAAAATATATAAGAACTAATAAAATACCTTATTAATGCCTAATAACTCCTAAAGAAGTTTTACCTAAACTAGAGGGATTAAGGAAGGTACTAAGACCTAATAAATCCTACTTAGATTATTTAGTAATAGTAATCTAGTCGCAGAAGGAACTATTAGCCATAGTATCTTCTAAAGCAGCCTATTTATTATACTTAGCCCTCTCTAACTTATCTATAGAGTTAAGACTATATTAGATTATATCTAAGCCCTTTATCTCTACTAAATAATACTAATACCTTAAATAAGTAATTTTAGCGAATTAAGTATTTATTTTATTATAAATCTAAGTAGACTCTGCCTAAAGACTAATTAGTTTATTTTTAGTAGCCTTCTTTTTATACTTAAGATAATACTTCTTATTAATAATATTTTAAGCTAATATTATATTAATAACCTATAAAATAATTTTATATTAGATTAAAATACACTAGCAGCTATAGATAAGCTATAACTATTATAGGATATCCTGGATTTAATATAAGGATTATAGTAATTTGATTTTGCAGGATTAAGGATATATAAATCCTTTATCTTTTAATAAATATAGTTAGAATAAGGTATAATAGGATTCCTAAATATTATAATAAGGATATAAAGAGATTTTTAGTTTTTAGTAGAAGTTTTCTTAGCCTTAGATATGCGGTTAGATATCTTAAAGGGATTATAAGAGTAAGATTAGATTTACCAAGGAGCAGCTAATAGAAAATATATTAACTAGGCCTTAAGGATAAGGCCTAATAGAGGGGAGAGATTATATTATAACCCTAGCAGTCTTATTACATATACCTTATATTTTCTACTAATCAATCTATGCCCTACTAAATAGATTAATACTAAGACTCTATAATTATATATAATCTATTAATAATTAGTGCTAATCTAATACAATTACTACTAATCCTATAATAACCTTACTAATTACTATTACCCTTCACTAGTATATAAGACTATATTTATTAGCACCTAGATAGAACTTAGCTTACTAGCTATTAATAAGACTTCTTTATATTAATAAGCCTAATAAGTATTACTTAATTATTAAGAGACGTGATAACTAACCTGCTTAGTATTTAACGCCCTATGCTATCTGTAAACATAAACCTAGTATAGACTAGTTTCCCTGTTT